TGGACATAGCTTAGCTAATGTAAATGATGTGTGTGGAGATTCGGGTAATAACACAAATGATGCAAGTGGAAATTTAAATAATGTGACTTACTCATCTTCATCTGAGTTGATAAATATTACCTTGGCCCTTAATTTATCTGCATCACAAAATGACAGCGATTTAAGTATGCCCGATATAGGGGGGCCACTGGAATCTATAAATGAGGAAAGTTAAATTCACGGCTGTTAAATCAAATTGAAATAATCAAAAAAATTCGCCAGAAAATAAAGCATTTATTATGTCATACGATCACATAACTTAACAGTCCCATGGTAAATTCCGTATCCCTGTGTTTAATATTTTATATTTTTATAATAACGATTATCAGTTTGACCGGCTTTAATAATCAATGACCTGCATTAAATTTTATGCAGTGTTACTCTCCTGCAAAATCATTTCTCACAGTCGATTTTTTATTAACTGTTAACAAATAACTAGACCCTTTTCTTATTATATATGGTTCCGCGATAAGAGCAAATCACGAATGGGACTTAAAAAGGCTATAAGGCTAATACATATAACGTTCTTTATCAGTAGTTTTATCAAAATTCATATGTTGCAGGAACTTGGCATTCCCAGATCGTCGAGATCGTTGACTTTTTTACTTCGCAGGGGAGATCGTCGAATCTAAGGGGGTTAATTTTACCAGAAAAAATAACAAAATACGTTCAGTGCTTGGAACCTATGACCGAGCGGAGTTGCTTTACATGGTGGGATCCAGCATTGTGTTAGGGTAACGTAATTACTAATCATATATTCTTTTTTCTGTTGGTTTGTTTTTTAGATCTAGCGAATGAACGGTATAAAATAAGCAGGTTTCCACCTTAAGATAAGTTAGCATTATCTTTGCTCCTGTATTTTTTATCAAAAAAAGGTTTATATATTCCCATTTTATTATCGAGGTAATGTTTATTACACTTCTGCAGGTTTTATTATTCAGGCGCAGGAAAATTATTGGCCTTACTACTTACTCATTTTTATTATGTTTAGAAGCGCAAAATGGGTGATAATGACCGTATTAATATTGATCTTAACTGTTACTATTCGATTAATGGTTATCAACATTATACTCGTACATTTAATGTTTTTAATGGAGATAAAGTTAGAACAAGGTTAATACCTCAAGTTCGGGCTGGCCTACCAGTTGGATTAACCAATGCCAACTTTCGACTTCGTAGATATTTTCCTACCGTTGGGGACTACTTCGTAATTATGAATCCGGATAGTGATATCTATGACCATTTCTCTGCGAATCCTAATCAAGATATTGTTCATATCATCGTAGAATTGTTACCGACCTCCCACTAAATAATAGAATTTTTTTTATTTTATTCGCACCTGTAACAGCGATATATTTTTTATTTGTATGCCATTTTGTCAATCTTTTTTTTTTATTTTTAAAATAAAGCAAGGTTCCGGGCATGAAGTGCCATTATTTTGAAATATGATATTTTGGAGTGACTTACATTATGTATAGCGTGAAATAAAGAGGGGTTCTGGCACGATGTGCCATTATCACACAATGAGGTTTTACCTCTAAAGTTGTTACCCATATTCAATGAGAGCTAAAGATTTATTTTTTAATTCTTTTTTGTGCGGAGTAGTGGGAACTCCCATTTTAGTCTCGAAGTTTCGCTTGTGTTCTAAGAAATCGGTCTCACTCATACTCTCATGTTCTTCTTTCCAATATTTCTGATTATCTCGCAATTCAAAGACAACCTTATCTCTCCATTGTTCTAACTTTTCTCGAGACATTTTGAACCTTTGTTGTAAAAGAAGGATAAGAGTATCTATATCAGATTCATTTTTGATGAGAAGCTCTGGTAATTTTTTCGAATCAGAAGAATCCAAGACCTGAGATGTGAATGATATACTCACCTTGATTTCTTTTTCATGGGGCGAGTTCCGGCATTTAATATAGTAAGAACCATTTGTGCATTGACCAGCTATACCAAATACATCCCCTTTACTATGCTCTTGCTCACATTCTGGGCATACCCCTGAGTCATTGAATTCGTAGCAATCATTAAATTCATCACTATGACGTAAGGATAGATAAGGATACTGCTTCAATATTGTATTAATGTAGGTGGCACGAGCATCATATGGAATAACTGGTGTATTCTTTTTGGATCGAGGCATTGGTGGTACACTTACCTTCACATCTGGTAATTTTTTCGAGCTAGAAGGGCTAGAGGTTAACAACTTAGCCAAAGTATCATAGGACGACATTCGTATGATTGGTAGATCTACCTGTGATTTCCCGTGATAATTAACCAATCAAATCAATCAAAA